AAATTCAAAATCCCTTCTTGGTAAGCAACCCGAGCATTAAGGAATATTCAGCTCTGGTAAGTACAGCTAATCCAAACTCTCAGGTTGTGTTTAAAAAGAGTAAATATATGGTTTTAATACAATGGACTTTTGGTCCCCTAGAAGGGCAGATGTGCCCCCATTGTATTTTATTTTACTTCAGGAATAAAGTATTTTTTATCTTTTTATTTCTTTCATAAATAAAGTATTTACTTCATGAATAATAAAAATGCTTATATCCTTCTGTTTGGGTGAGAGTGGACAGCTGTATTCAGACAGAAGCTTTGCATTTCCTTAAGGTATAATTTTTCTGCAAAATACAAAATAACCCATTTTAGCCTGCCAAAATGAACAGGTGGATCATAACAGAATGTCCTGACTTCTACCCAATTGTCCTGTTGATCAGATTCTTTTTCTTCCTAGCTCTTATTCACTGCTCTCAGACACAACTATAAATGAGAGGTACTTTCAAAACATATGCCTCTTTCTTTTCTCAGTGCCCTTATGATTTTGAGCGGTCACTAAGTGAACTGTTGTAAGTCGAGGACTACCTGTGCTAGTACTCATTTCCCTTGTTCCTGCCCATGTTTATACTTATACCTGTTATCTTGTACATGTTTGACAAACTAAATAATTTTAAAAAAATAAATTTAAATCGGAGATCACCAATTTAATTTAAATTGCAGATGACACCAAACGGGTAGGAATAGCCAACTGCAGAAGACAGGCTTAAGATATAGAAGGATCTTGATAAACTTGAAAATTGGGCACTATCTAATAAAATGAAATTCAATGGTGAAAAGAGTAAGGTTCTACATTTAGGCAAGAAAAATGAAATGCACAGGTAGAGTATAGGCGGTACCTTACTCAATAGTAGTAGCTATGAAAGGGATCTTGGGAGTCCTAGTGGACAACCATTTAAATATGAGCCAGCAGTGTNAGAAGCAACTTAGAACTGAGGAGAAATTTCCTGACAGTTAGAACAATTAATCAGTGGAACAACTTGCCTCCAGAAGTTGTGAATGCCTCAACACCTGAAGTTTTTAAGATATTGAATAACCATTTGTCTGAAATGGTGTAGGGTTTCCTGCCTAAGCAGGGGCTTGGACTAGAAGACCTCCAAGGTCCCTTCCAACTCTGTTATTCTATTCTATTCTATTGTATTCTATTCCATTCCATTTCAAGAAACTGCCGTATGCCAACAAAATTCATAAATCAAGCAATAGAGAGACATTTTTGTATCTTTACAAAATGGGGAAAACTCACCTTAAGAATTCCATTTGTTTAAAATATTGCAGGCTTTAAAAGATGGTATGTTGCCAAATTGGGTATATCCTGCCTGTTTCTTTTTTCATATATGTGTGTGTGTGTGTGTGTGTGTATGTATATAATTTTTTCATTTTTATAACATATAACCACATGTATACTATTACATGGCCAACATCTTATTGTATTATTAAATGTTTACATCAATTCATCTTACCATCAATTCCTAAAACAATTATTGGCTCTTCTGTTCTCCATACACAATATTTGTACCTTATCCTTCACTTTCTTCTCCCTCTCTCCTTTCTTCCCTGCTGTCCTTCTCTTCTCTACTTCCCCTTCCTCTCTCCTTCGCCTCTCTACCCTTTCCACTTCTTCTTTCTCTCCTCCTCTTCCATCCCCTGCCCTCCCTCCTATCCCTCTCTTCTTCCCTTACCACTTTCCTCTATTTCACACTCTTCATCTCATTTATTTGGTGTATTTCAGCTTCTCAGCGAAATACACCAAACACACTTTTATGTTGATGGTATTTATAATTCCTTTTCAATATACATATTTATTTGACATATATCTTCCTCCTTTTTTAAAAAAGAGAAGAGGGGAAGTATACACATATCGTAATTGTGTTTTTAATCCCTCCTCCACAGCCTAATTTTGGACCAGATGTAGACCTGGTTACAATTCCCAGCTATTCTCATCATTATATGTATATAATTATGCATCTTTACACGCCCCCAATTTGTGATTCTATCTTTAAATCTCAATAGTTTCCCATTGTAAGTATATTTCATGTTCCAGCTCCATTTTTCCATATCTTGGCTTGGATTACCCTTAATTGTCTATAAATAGCAATCCTTACTGTTCAATGTTCATT